TGCCATTTGGTGACACTGGGTACCTGTCACATCTATCATGCTGTGCACCGTCCTGACTGCTGTTTTCCAAATTATCCCACCACCGTGAACAGATAGCCACTGGTGAAACTTTGGCCTCGCTGTATTTGGCTATTTCACTGAGGTGAGATCATCTGGTGTTTTCTGCTTTGTGATGGACAGATTTAAATCAGCATGATGTTTTCATGGATCATCCATGCTGAAACATGTATCGGGACTTGTTTCTCACTGTGGCTGAATAATATTTCATTGTATGTCTACACCACATTTTGTTTATCCATTCATCTGTTGACGGACACTTAGCTCGTGTCCACCTTTGGACTATTATGCCCTCATAGGGTTTGGAGATCACGCTGGTAAAGCAATCAGCATAAAATCGGGCAAAGGTCAGCGCTCAGGAAATGTTAGCTCTTGTGATTAGTGTTCATCACAATCAAGATACTCTTCGGTGCTCAGAGGAGAGTTGCTCCCCAGCTGGCTTATTGTAAGAGATAGCAAATGGCTTCCCAGGCCTCCGACTAGCTCTCTCTTTTGCCACCTGGGACAGAGTTGAGTTTGATTTGAAGAAAGTCATCCCCCTACCACAGAGGGGAGAGAAGTTGAGTGACTCACGATGGCACCCAAACATGGGCAAATCACATCTCAGGTGTTGGGGGCTCCCTGCTGCTATCTTGGGTTTGGGAGTTGAGATTTGGGAACAGTTTCTGATGTGTCCTTAAAGGTGTTCACAGACATAAAGGGATAATTTGACCTTGGATAGAATGCAGTCATCTTAAATGGGTATCCAGACTGGGGTCCTGTAAACAAAACCATATGTCCAGATTACATGTCAAATTCAAGTAGAGATACTTACCTACTTATTTCCATCATTTCTGTAAGTTGAAGTATCATTCACATACATTAAAGTTCATCCTTTTTTAGATGTACAGCTCTACACGAATGCTTGCAAATTGTGTAACTACCACCCCATTCAAGACAGAGAACATTTCTGTCACCCGCAGTGTTTTCTTGTGCACAGTCTCCTTCCACACCCAGTCCCTACCCACCCGTGGTCTCGTATTTTGGCTCTAGATTTATGCCTGCTGGCTTCTAGCCAGTCTGGACATGTCACCACCAGGAATCTCGACTAACTCAAGTTTCCATAGCTGCTGGAGGTGCTCTGGTGGCCCAGTAGCTAAGCTGCTAGCCCACAGATCAAGGGTTTGAACCCACCAACAACTCTGAAAAGATAGGATTGTGATTTCCGAGGCCGCAGTCTTTGTGACTGTAGAGACGTGAAATACCCTAAAGCAAAGGGAGAAGCTTCCGTTGGCTGGCCCAGCAGAGGCGCGCATTGGGCCCGTCACCAAGTTTGCTCCCGGGGCCTTGGGTCAGATTTTCTTTTTCTTAGGCTATTCCTAGGGCTTTATTGTGTGTCTGATGATGCAGCTCAAGAACTAGCCTTCTGCACACCCTCAGCCAAGAAGGGTGTTTATCAGGAGCCCAGTTGGGAGCATGCTGGGACAGACCTCCGGTGTTCTTTAGGGCCGTATCAGCGGAGGACCCCTAAGAACAGCGTGCCCTCATGGGACTTGACACTTCCCAATGTCTTGTGAAAAGCATGCTACTTGGAGGACCGACTTGGACATTATGAGGGACAACAATTTCTGGGACGGAAATTACAGGGAGAAGAATTCTTGGTCAGAACAAAAGGATGTAATTAGGAAGATATTTGAACTACTGCCATTATTTGTGCTCAGAGCTACCTTCGGTCTCTCTATTAAAGAAACGAGAACGGAGTTTTGGAATGTTGGCGTTCCAGTGTCTTTGATTTAAATCAAATTGCCCTAAGGCCTTAACTGCCTTAGTATGTAAGCTGTTGCTAGTTACCATCTCCTCTCGCTTCCCGTTCCCTCCTCCACATTCTTTGGTTCTATCTGTGCTCATCAATGGCTTCTTAGGCCAGGAAAGGTCTCGGAATCAGTTCTCATTTTTCTACGCTTTATTTTACTTGGGAGGCAGCAGAAGCAACCCTGAGAGAGGCACCGAGTTTGCTAAGTGCGTAACTGATGGTCTCAGACTGAAATGAGAGGGTCGAGTGGATGAAATAAGACTTTGGGAGTCTGCCTGCCACATGTAGCCTGTTTTCCCCTTTCTTAACTTTTATCCCTTCCAGGAAAATCTAAATAGCATCCAATTCCCTTTCCCTCGGTGTGTTGTCACTTTGTGAACTCTTGCCACATCCCTACACCCCCCTGCCCAGCCTCCTTTCATAATTAGGGAACCTGCAGATTCCCGCTGCGTTGTTTTGTTGTCGCTGTTTGGTACCCAGTGGTGGTTGTGAGGTGCCACTCACTCTCGTTGGTTTTAGCTGCCATGCAGTCAGCCCCGGATTCACGGCCACCCCTCGATCCACAGGACAAGCGCTCCAGAAGGGTTTCCTGCCTGTCCTATGTGTGGAAGCAGTTTGCCAAGCCTGGCCTTTCAGGGAGCCTTCAACCTGTGGATTCACAACTGATTACAAACTGCTTATGCCACCCAAGCTCCTCGGCTGCAGTTAAAATAAGTCCCACGGCCACCGACTTGATCCCAACTCAAAGCAACTATCTAGGACAGGGTAGCACTCTTCCATGGGGTTTCCAAGACCTCCGTCTTTCGGGGGACAGGCATCTTCAACTTTCTCTCACAGTGTAAACAGGGGCCCGTTGTATTCCTGTTCCGAGTACCTAACCTTCCGAAGATATTGGAATAGGATCCCCTTCCTGCCTAACCCAAACATGCTGGGGATGAGTGAGCCAATGCTAGGGAGAGAGTGCGCTGCACACAGTCTCCGCTGTGTGGCTTTGGGAAGGTGACTCTACTCTGTATCTGAGTTTCTTCACCTATCACCGAAGAAGGATGCTCCCCCGTCCGTCTTCGGGGTTGAAATGGCAAAAGCACCTGGAAAGACCCAGGAAACACTGAAGACGATGGCATCCATCAAGATGGGGGGAGAACTCTGGGAAAACATTGTTAGTGCTTTATCTTTTCATGTATTTCTTGGAGTTCATTTTCAGAGCTATTTCATCTAATCCACTATGATGTCAGTTTTGTTTTAAATTAGGGTAGCACACTAAGGGCATCAGACGAAGACCACGCTGAGACACACCCTCATGCACTTCTCAGGGTGGCCAGCATTGAAAATGAGCTCCACCACACAGCGCCCTGGAAGCGGCAGAGAAGCTGGGTCACTCATACATTGCCGGAGGGAATGCTAAATGGCACAGCTCCTCTGGGAAACTGTTTGGCAATTTCTTGTAAAACTAAACATGCAATTACCATCTGACCTAGCAATTGCATTCTTGGGCATTTGTCCCAGAGAGATGGAAACTCATGTTCATGCACAAAACCGTACACTGATGTTTACAGCAACTTTATTTACAACAGCCCAGATGCCCTTCAGTCAGGGACGAGTCCGTCCCTCCACACCCTGGGACACTCCTGAGCCGTAAAGAGCAGCAGATGAGCCTTTCGTTTGAGCACATGGATGCAGCCACTGTGTCAGTCCATCTGTGTAAGGGCTTCCTCTATGTGGCTGCCCTGATACTTTACTAAGCATGGTGTCCTTTTCCAGGTCTCTCCTAACCACACGTCTGATGAGCGTGAGATGAAGTCTTATCCTCCTTGCCTCTAAGGGGCATTCTGGCCGTACTTCCTCAAAGACAGATTTGTTTGTTCTTTTGGCAGTTCATGGTACCGCCAATACTCGTCGCCAGCACCATGATTCAAATGTATCGATTCTTCTTTGGTCTTCCAGATTCAGTGTCTAGTTTTTCATGCATGTGAGGTGATAGAAATACCCTGGCTTGGGACAGGCACACCTTCACGGTCAAAGTAACATCCTTGTTTTTCAACACTTTCAAGAGGTCGTGGGTGGCAGATTTACCTTGACCTTTAAATAAAGGCAAGAATTAACCAAATGGAGAATACATGAGTGGTTTTGAGGGGTTAGAACAAAGAGGGGGAGGGGGTGGGGCGGTGGCGGCCGGTGCAGCTGAGAGTGGTTGAAAAGAGTCCCCTGAGAGATGCTCGTAGTGACTGCGTTTTTCTTTATTTTGATTGTGGTCATGGATATATCAATCTGCACACACCGGTTTGTGTAGTGGCATACAACTCAATATACATGCAGACACACACGTACACAAAGGAGTTCAATTAAAGCTGAGGAAATAAGAACCAGGTGAGTGGATGATGTCAATGTCATTATCCTGACTGTGGTATTGTACTACAGTTTTGTAAAATGCTACCCTTGGAGGAAATACTATCAAGGGGACCTTGGATATCCGTACTTTTCTCACAAATGCATGCCAGTCTATAGTGAGCCAGATGGATCAGAATCCCTCCTCGCCAGCGTTTTTGGGAAATTGATGCCACTAACATTTATTAGCCTTGTGGAACTGACTCTATTCCATTGTTTTGACTTTATTTTTTGCCCAGTGGTCATGCTACCTGCAGAGTAGGAGGAGGCTTGGGATCAGGAACAGGGCACTTGACACAAAGGGGTGGATTTCGGTGGATCTGTTCCCTTATTACGATGTGATCCTGCCTCTCTGGACCACAAACCAGAAAATAGCAGAACAACCTCCTTCAGCGCCACGGTGAAGAACAGACAGGGGCCCGGCTCTGAGGACTGTCATCATGGCTCAGTAGCTGCATCTGGCCGCAGCCTGGGCCTGGGACTGGCTTGATTTTGGGGCTCTGCTAAGGTGGATGGGATGAGGCCTCCTGTAATCCCATGGCAGGAGTACTGGAAACAGCTCAGATGATCTCGGGAGACATCTGCCTGAAGCTAAGGCTTGTTCTTCAGCTTCAAGGCAGGTGGTAGGTGTTGGTGGGGAGCCTGACTTCTGTCTGATCGGATTGAGGGGTTGGGGGGGCAGTTGTTGATTTTTGTTTGTTGGTGTTTTAAGAAAGCGTGTGAAGTCAAGAGACCTTGGTGCATGGTGACTCTCTTTTCTTTGAAGTTGTAGGACAGTCTCATCTGGAAACCAGCATTGGGGATCAAGAGATTGTCACTAACCCACCAGACATTTGCCAGGTTGTAGAGGTGACCACTGAGAGCGATGAGCAGCCGGTCAGCATGAGCGAGCTCTACCCTCTGCAGATCTCCCCCGTGTCTTCCTACGCAGGTGAGCCGTGGGGAGAGAACTCTGAGCAGAGGGAGGAGGGAAAGTGCTCCTTCGTCTAGAAGACTCTCGAGCCTCCGTGCTTCCCCACACAGAGGGGATCCCTCCTCTGCCATAGGCATTACTCTTGGTGGGTTTATTCTCTCTTATTTTCTGTGCCATCCTCCTGTTGAGCACTTTGTACCCAGTTGCAAGACATGGTTACAGCATTTCTCTACTCGATCGCATCACACTAAGTGCATGCATCTGTGTGTGTGCCCACATGCATCTATATTCATATATGCATTCATACATGTATTATAAAGTGCATGATTCTAAGATAGAACAAGACCTCTCGCAGGATTCGTTTTCTGGGTTTAAACCTTAGGACCATCTTCTCTGGACAATTCAACCAATTGGCATAATACAGTTGGTTTGGGGAGTAGCATGCCCTGGGGTTTGAAACACTTGTGAGATGTGATTTTCTGGTTCAGAGCAAAAGAGCAGGAAGACAACCAAAGGCTCCAAGAAGAAACCAGTCTGCATGATGAGCAGTCCACTCGAACCAGACTCTTCTGCCCTGAGGCCGGCAAAACTCCATGCTTCCTGGCTAACACTACGGGTCATTCTGATCAGGGTCACAGCAGATCGATCCTGGTAGAGGAAGAGGAAATGTTTGATACAACTTAAATTATTTTTTTAAAACAAAGTCTAGGCCTACTGGACCAGGTGAGAGTAAAGGACTCCCTGTGTGTGTCAGGTTGAGTGGGCTAGAGAAACAAAGCCCGTGACACCGGCACGGAAAGAGAGCTATATCAAGAAATGGCTAGCTGAGAAGCAACCAAGCCCACACGGAAGATGCACACCAGCCCCTGTGATCATGAGGTGTGGAAGGTATCAGGTTTTCAGGCTTCAAAGAACAAAGAATCATATCATTGTGTGCCCACCTTCCCGATATGATTGCTGAAGACAAATGGGTGCATAAGCAAATGTGGTGGAGAAAGCTGATGGTGCCCAGCTATCAAAGGATAAAGCATCTGGGGTCTTAAAGGCTTGAAGATAAAAAAGCGGCCATCTAGCATAGAAGCATCAAAGCTCACATAGAAGAAGCACACCAGCCTGTGTGATCACGAGGTGAGTGATCACGAGGTGTCGAAGGGATCAGGTATCAGGCATCAAGGAACAAAAATCACATCATTGTGAATGAGGGGGAATGCAGAGTGGGGACCCAAAGATCATTTGTGGGCAACTGGACATCCCCTTACAGAAGGGTCAAGGGGAAGAGACGAGCAGGTCAGGGTGCAGTGTATCACCAATGAAACATACAACTTTCCTCTAGTTCTTAAATGCTTCCTCCCCCCAACTATCATGATCCCAATTCTACCTTACATATCCGGCTGGACCGGAAGAAGTACACTGGTACAGATGGGAACTGGAAACATAGGGACTCCAGGACAGATGAACCCCTCAGGACCAGTGGTGAGAGTGGTGATACTGGGAGGGTGGAGGGAAGGTGGGGTAGAAAGGGGGAACCGATTACAAGGATCTACATATAAGCTCCTCCCTGGTGGATGGACAACAGAAAAGTGGGTGAAGGGAGACATCGAACAGTGTAAGTTATGACAAAATAATAATGACTTGTGAATTGTCAAGGGTCCATGAGGGAGGGGCGAACGGGGAGGGAGGGGAAAATGAACTGATGCCAAGGGCTCAAGTAGAAAGCAAATGTTTTGAGAATGATGATGGCAACAAATAGACAAATGTGCTTGACACAATGGATGGATGGATTGTGATAAGTGTTTTATGAGCCCCCAATAAAATGATTAATTAAAAAGGAAAGAAATGGCATCCACCATTGTAGGAATAGGTAAATCCAGTCTGGTACAAGTCAGGCTTCTCCTACTTTGAGGAAGTAGGAGACAGAGCAGGGCCAGCAAGGGAGGAGGGGTGGGGCACAGATTGGCAGATGCAGGGGCAACGTGAAGGTTGGCTAAATGAGTCCACCGTTGGTAGTCCACTGACAGTTCTTGGGATGGGCAGCCTGTGCAACAGGAGGTCGAGGAGCCAGACGGGAGCTGCAGCCCCAGCAGAAGGCAGAGGGACAAAAAGAATTCAGCTCTGATCCGTCTCATCGCAAAGTCCACACCCAACTTGATAGGTTGGGCTTTGGCCCTACTCTAACCCTGGAGTGTCCACTTGACATAATCCCTAACCAGCACCCTGAGACCCTGATTGAGATTCAACCTGGAAATCGTAGCATCAAATCATTCCCAGTTTCCCTAAAACTGGAAGTGAAACATCCAGAAGGGAATTAAGAGGGTGCCAACTCCTTATGGAAAAGTTACTCCGTGTCCCTGAGCAATTTGTGAAGTAATCGTTAAATGGGAAACTTAATTTGTTGTGTCAACTGTCACCCAAAACACACGATCATACTAACTTTCAAAGAAAGGAAGGAAACCCCGCAGAGCCCTGTTCTATTCTGACAAGCCCGGGGTCGCCGGCCAAGGCCCAGTCGGCTGTAGCACCGCTCGGGGATTCTTCCCCAATGGAGGGTCATCGGTGAGTGGCCTGCCTCTCTGGGTGGCATCGAGTCAGTGCTAGCATTGGATTGACTCAAATGATTGGTTCTTTGTGAATTACCAGCCACTCAACTAACCTGCAGGACCCCTGGTGGCACAGGGGTTAGACCCTTCGGCGGCTAACCACAAAGTTGGTGGTTCAAACCCACCTGCTGCTCCTCGGGAGAGCGCTGAGGCAGTCTGTTTCCATAAAGATCTACAGCTTTGGAAATCCTGGGAAACTTTCTTTTGTGTGAGGAATGGCAAAGGAAAAATGAGGTCAACCCTTGGCTACAAGATGCCTAGAATCTGCCCAACAGAATAAGCTCGTTGCCATTTCTGTGTTCATCAACTGTATTTTGAACCTGTTTGTGAGCCAGGCCCTTTGCCAGCCTCCAGCAAAAACTGCGGGTAGTTGCCTGTCTCTCCTGGCCTGGAAACGCTGGGGCTAAATGCTTGGTACTGATGGACTTGTTTAATCCTCCTGCGAGTTACCCTGTCCGTGCGGACACCATCACAATCCACTCTTCATAGCGGAGGACTCCCAGATAGAGAGTGTGTGAAGGGCTAGGGACTGGCAGTACTGCTCAACCCTGTGTATCACGGCTGCCCAGGCCTCCTCTAGAGCCCCCCACTGTTGCACTGCCCTGGAGAGCAGCACCAGGCTTGGCCGCTCCGAACATGTCCTCACACCGGCTCTCCGGTGGGTTTTCCCAGGAACCCATCAAACGAGAGGGAATGCTTATGTTGTAATTAGACAATGAAGATAGTGGAAGCTTGCCACGAAGCAAGCTTTCCTTGTTTATGTGGCTACAGCCGAACATTCGTGATCCTTCCTTCTAGATCATGCTTTGCTAGGCATTATCACACCCCGTGCATTCTTTTTAAAGCTTGGGGCTTAAAAAAAATCGTTCCTGTTTATTATCTGTTGAGTCAGATTTTTCTGTGGGCTTGGGGATTTGGGCAGGACTTCTTCAAACTGCCCTGGCAGTGGAGGCATTTGCTTGAGCAAAAGCCGCGAGCACAACTGATCCACGTTGAGAGAAATGAACATTTCCGTGCCCTTCTGGAGCCATTTGCAGGGATTTGAAAGGACGGGTCTTGAGTCCCAGGATGGCAGGTAGTGAGTGAGAGGGCCGCTGCTTCTTTTTTTTTGAACTCGGCTTTTCAGGCCGCCCTGGAGTTCTTTTGGTTGCTTTTGTTGCCTGGATTTTCCAGAGCTGTGGGCAAAGGAGGCTTTTTGGATGGAGCCAACGTTTCCCCCTTGTTCTGTTATTCTAGAGTTTACAAACAAGACGTCTATCTGCTACTGACAAGGCTTTGATTTAGTTCAGGATGGTTCAGTCTCCTGCAGAGAATTGATCCTTCCAGTCCAGATAGACTGACTCTATGGTTTAACAAGATCCCCAAGTGGTTCTTGTCGATCCCTGGGTGATTCAGATGTCTACCGAGGGATCTTGATGTCTCTTGATGGACTTGTTTAATCCTCCTGCGAGTTACCCTGTACGTGCGGACACCGTCACAATCCACTCTTCATACACTGCAGCTCCTGAGTCAGTCCATGTGGGTGTCAAGGCAAATTCTTTGCAGGAGGTTGGGCCCACTGGAAGTCACCAGATTCCCGCAGGGTTACTAACTGTGGCTAAAGTATTTTAGTCTGTGGTTTTTGAGTTTGGTCTTAGTTATCTTGTGCTGCTAAGATAAAAATACCATAAACTGGTAACTTTAGCAAACAGAAATTTATTCGCTCCGTGCTTAGGAGGCTGGAAGTCAAAATGACAGGTGCCAGCTCTGATGTTGTTATTAAGTGCCATTGAGTCAATTCCAACTTCAGACCCTTTGTGCACCAGAAGGAAACATTGCCTGCTCCTGTGCCCTCCTCGCGATCCTTGTCATGTTTGAGCCCATTGTTGTAGCTACTGTGTCAACCCCTTTCATTGAGGGTCTTCCTTTCGGCTCTACCAAGCAAAATGGCCTGCTCTGGGAACTGGCCTCTACTGATAACATGTTCAAAGTATGTAAAGTTTCACCATCTTCCCTTTCTCTTCTTCTTTTTTTGAATTATTGGCATACACTGAGCACACAATACAATTTAATCATTCGATCATATTAAGATTTGTGCAATTATAAACATAATCAATTTCAGGATGCTTTCTTCTCACACTCGTTTTTATTAGCTCCCGATTTCCCCCAATCCTTCCGTGCCATGCCCCTATCCAGTTACTCTCTCCGTAGATCTGGATTTCCAGAATAGATCCCTCTCCTGGATTTCATATACAGAAAATCCTACAAAACAAAGCACAATCATGCAAATCATGCAAAGCAAGGGAATCAACAAACCCAACAACAATGACTAACAACGAAAACACTCAAAGGGCGTCCAAAAGGAGATCAAGTGATCAGCTATTACATTTCATCCTAACTACATCTGCCATAATCGACTTTACAGTGCTCCCTGTCTGATGG